ATAACAAATAAGAAAAAATAAAGGCCTATAGTTAGGGCCGTATTTCCCACAAGGCCAACCGAGGCCCGGCTCGGGGCAGCAGGGAGTAGAGGGCCAGCAGGGGTGTGGAGTTCCTATCTCCTGACGTCCGGGACATGGAGTTCTGGGTGCCGGGCGGGTAGTTGTTGTCTACATTTAGCTCTGCTTTGTGCAAGCAGGGCTAAATGTACAGAGGGGAAGCTGCTGCTTGTTTTGTACAAGTGATCTGGGTGATGTCGCCGAGATCACTTGAATGCATCCTGCATAAGGGGGGGGGGTGAACCTGGCTATAGTTGTTTGCATCCATCTTAAGAGCCATGTCACTGTAGTGATTCTATGTTGCCAGTGACATAATCAGCAAGGTACAGCTGACACCTTTCCTAATGAGCATGATTGGGGATGCTCAAAGTGAGTAGGCGTGCAAGATGGGGCAATGATGAAATTCCAGATTGCCCATGTGCAGGGATGAAATGGGCAAACGTATTGTGATTCGGTGTTAGGAGGATTTACCAATAGAGAGTGGTGAATGTCTGCAGGTGATTCCTTTCATTAAATGTAGCCTATACCATTTTAAAACGAGAGAAGCAGCATTTGACATGAAAATGTGAACAATCAGGATTTTCAAACATCTTTTTAAAAGGTTGAATGTACTGGGGAATCATTAAAGCGAAAATATGCTTTAAAAATCAGGTGAATGTCTTTGGATGCGTAACAGATAATTGGTGAATTCACCATTTGGCCTTTCATAAATAGCCCCATTACAGTAAAGGAGCATTTTAGACTTTTTTAACTTTACAATTACAGTGTTTCCTGGGTATCCTTAAATAGGATCTGTCCTGGAGAAACTGCCCAAAAAAGGAATGGAGAGGACAAAAGACTAGTTAACAGTATTGCCTGTTGGCACCCAGCAGCTGATCTTTTACCCACTACTGACTTACCATGCCTTGTTCTGCACTGTGACTCAGTGGCAGGGCAGGGTTTTGCTTTTTCATGTTAGATCTGTCCCCCTGTTGACTGGTGGTCTAATGACTGGTGGGGTTATTAATCAGGACCAGCAGTAGAATGAATGAAGCAGAATTATGGAGATCCTTGCTATGTAGGTCCTCAGGTACAGCGTCCTTTCCAGCAGGGAGAACAGTGAGCAGTACAGTAGTGACATCACCAAATATCACTTCAAATATCCTAAGACTAGCAGTCAGAGGCAGCAGTACCTTAAATAACCTATGCTGCAGGTATAAAGCTATAAGGCTACAGACCAGGAGTACCTAGGCATAATCACAACTCAAGAATTTAAGACTAAGGCACATTTGTCAGGGCACTGCATAGGCACAATTAACATTTCTAGATGCTCCTTATAAGATAGCATATCTTCACTTTTCTGATTCAGCTCCACAGTTTACTGACTGGTATTCATGATTGTCTGGAGTTCATCTTTAATGCTGCAGATTAAGATAAGGTTGCATTTATTTTCACCCAAATCCGCAGGCCCGTTGGCCCAGTGTAAATTAAGCACAGTCTCTTTAGTTATTTTGAACCATTTCTGGTCCTGTTTTTTACACACAGGAATTTTTGTGTGTGTGTGTTTTTTGTACACACAGGAATATGGTCAGAAAGGCCTATAAATAAACCTGAACATTCACTGATATCAAAGTTCTAAATGGCACAATTCAGCCTCAGAGCTACGCCATTGTTATTTAGAAGCTGTGTTATAATTTATTCATGCCTTGTACATTTCATCATATGAATTAATAACCTCCTTGTGCTTTAGGATGGCAGTTTGATTTTTCCACCGTTTTTGATAAGTTTCCAGTAGGGATAAAGGCAACAATTTCAGGTTTTCTGCATCTTGCATCTTGCTGTTGCATCCTTTCTTGCTTAGATGAAATTGGAACTAAGCTGCATCAAATAAAACATGGCTCAAAGTTAACCTGTACTTTACCTATAATGGGCAAAGTGACAATTTCACACTACTGTAGGGTCCTTTAACAAGTATATACTTTCCATCCACTCAGGTCCGTAACTACAGATCACAGGGCCCCATAGCAAAAATGTGATGGGGCCCCCATGATGACCTCTCTCTGAGCTGTGAGTGATGATGCCAAGATCCTACATACTCCTCTTGTGCAACTGAAGTCATCTCTACACTGTAGATTTTACAGGGGATTATAGTTATCATCAACTGCAACCATTCCAACCCTTAATGACGCAGAACTGCATTATCTTGACATGTTCTATGTTTAATTTGCCTCAACAACCTAGCTGGGCCCCCTTCCACTCTCAGGCCCCATAGCAGCCACTTGGGCTGCTATGGCTATAGTTACACCACTGCTTCCACTCACTCCCCTACATTACCTATCTGCTGACAGTGAACCCCAAAGTTCTGAGTAAGACTGTACATGCCAGAACCAAACACCACCTTAAACAATTGGGGGAAAGTGTGCACAGTCTGTATAGGATTCACTGGAGCACTGGGTTCTGGTACTGGATTCGTGCAGGGGGGTCCAAAAAGATACAAAATCAACACTTTTTTGGGGTTACCTAAGCTTGGTCCCACACAACACACAAGTAACCAATTAATTGCTAAAAGCAACCTACTAAAATATAAAGAACACAGGGCATTTAATTGTGGTTGCACACTGCTCGAAACCAGCGTCTTGGCTCCAACTATACTGCAAACAGGCTGGTAGGAACTTAATGCGGAACTACATCCTCATATTCTTTTACAGCCAAGGAAGCGCCATCTTAGCCTCTATTTGGATTGCAGTTGCCATGGTGCTGCACACGTGATTAGCTATTACAACACCCATTGAAAGCTAGAAATCTGAGGAGGGCTGAAGATACATGCAAGGCCATCTGCGTTCCTATACTGTATGCATATATTCACTTCACATAATATTTTCTTGAAGATCCCCCTCATTTGCTACGGATGTGAGGAACAAATGCCTAGACTTTTGCCCCAACATAAGAGCAAACCTGGAGTAGCGTGTTCTCCTAGAAATGTTAGGCCATTTATTAAAGTTTATCCACCCCTTCAAGACTTTTACATAGCTTATTGTTTATTTGAACATTTGAACATATGTCCACAATAAGTCCTTTATTCTTCAGCGGTTAGCACATCTTGCATGTCTTCTGTACTTGTACTAGAATTTGGTCTGCTTCATTTGCTTCTCTACATGTTAATAAATGATGAAGTTGCAGAACTATATGAAAATCAGAGTACAAAGCTGTTTTGCTGATTAGAAGAGGGTTATCACGCTGCTTACATCAAAGGTTACACCCCTAAACCTGACTATATACTTACAATGGCAGTAGGACATTCATTCACTATCCAAATGGCAAACAATTGTTCTATTAAAAAAAAACTAAGGTGCATGCATTTTTTTTTTCTCTAAGAATGCTTTTTGAGTAGTGACTGGTTACATTTATTGCCCGGAAAAAGAAAGATTGTTCCTCCAGTCCAACCTGGCCATGAGCCATCCTTCCAAGGTCAGATGCCATGTTGATTAGAGTCAGCTGGTATCAATAAACAATCATTCCTTTATCAATCTTGACACCATGAGAGTTTGTGTTGAAGTTCTTCATAGATTGGCTGAGCATCATTGGAGCATGTTAGGGGATGGACATCTAATGTTTATGGGTAATTTCTACATATTTCTTTGATATTCTTCATCCAAAAAAACACTACTTAGCATTTTAACACCGTTAACAATAAGTAATTACAAAAGGGAAGGCTATAGCGCTGGTAATAGTCTATTCTGTTTTACACATAATTTATGCATTTTGGTCAAATAGGTTGAGCGATTATGTTAGATTGTTATGCTTTCATATTTTGTGTTTTTAGTCATTTGAGGTTTTTTTTATTATGTTTCCCATCTCTGCAAATCTGTGTTTACTTTAAAAATGTCCAGAATTGTTTCTGACAATTAGGAATTTACTATCTAGCTTTCATCTGCTCTGTATCAATTTAAGATTACTGTGGGGACAGTGGTGCATTAAAGTGAACCATATGTACTCCTCACTTCCCTTGCTGATCATCATTTTGTAGTGACCTTGAGACTGGGAGTCCACTATATGAAGGAGATTAATTGATCTTTGTGGACGTCCTGCTTCCTTAGCCGTTTCTTCTTTATTTCTGAAGTCAAAGTGGAATAGCAGAAAAATTGGAGGATAAAGCCTGAGTACCTAAGCCCCGAAGTTCTAACATTTGTCAAAACACCCTTCTTTATTTTGGCAGTGTAATCCTTTGCACACTAAGGCTCGATCTACTAAAGAAGTAGAACGTTCAGCCCAGTGATCCCCTGTTTTCTTCAAATAGCCAGTCATATGCAAGGGACAAAAAATCGGAATTTCCCTTTGACTTTCTTGAACTTCCCTTGGACACGATTGGATGTAATCACAGCTTCACCAGTCCTTATGAACATCAGCTACACTTTTAGCAAGCTAACTCCTATGTACACTGCAGCACATTCATGATAAATGACAGCAAAATAGAACACAAAGTATACTACTAGGGCACTGTTTTCTAAAGCTTATTAAGATTTGAAAATGAAAGATAGAAGCTGATTGGTTGCCATGCACAGCTACTCCAGTTTTTGTCTACTCCAGTTTTGATAAATCCCCTCACTGTTTTTAAGAAGGAAATTCAAATTTATTAGTTTCCCATTACCTGATTGTCGGTTTGATGTGAACACAGGTTTGTTGGGGACCTCACATAGAATCTACATGTGCATAAATATATGTACAGTATATATATATAAAAATGTTTGCTAATAACGTTTTTGGTTTTATTAAGTTCCTTGGTATTTAAACATTTTTGTTTGTGTAAAGCGAAGATAAATAGAACCTTTGTGTGCACCAAATTTAGTTTCCTTTTTCATTTGTCCCAAATGTAGCACCCTCCACCACCATGTTGTGCGCCTTTGTGTTGTGTCCACGTACTGTTATGTTTCTGACAAGTTTTAATCTCTCTTGGTTTATGCTAGAAGTTACTTGGGAAGACCAGCAGAGAAAGGTGAATGGTGCAATAACTGATGACAAACAATTGCCAAGAAAGAAAGCCCATTCAGAGCCAGGTTTGTCAGGGTTTTGGAAAACCACCTGAAAAGCATGAGGCTTGCGCAGAGGGGGAGGCTCATGCTTTTGTAATGAGTGTGTTCATCATCTGCGCTTCTCACTTTGGTGTGTTTAGGCGTAGTTCCTGAGAGTAACGCCTTTTACTCAGTGTTGTGTATCATCCCTTTTCAGAAAAAAATTAGTTCCAGTCTCAATCGTGGCAACAAAATTACACCAACAATCCAAAGCGTAGGACCAAATTATATTTAGTTTAAAATCTTGTTACCAAAATACTTCTGAAATGGGGAGATAATATGTGACATATATGTAGATAGTTCTTAGATGTTTTCCTGTTCATGGTTCTGTTCATTAATTTATTATGTATTTATGGCTGGATTTAGATAACATTAACATATAGGCATATATCTGTTAATGGTATGGGCTGGTATGCAAATCTGGGTTATCCACCAGCCTAGGGGCCCAGTGGATGTCCAGGGTGCCCAGCTACAGTCTTCATACTCCTGCAGTAAATCAAAAGGGATAGCGCTATTGGTCAATGCTGTACCCTTGCCTGTCACTTTACAAGGGAGGATGTACTTGTCTGATGGGGAGTGGCCATGCCAGGACAAGCAGAGAAAGTAAGGTTGCTTCTCTGTGCCTATTGCAATCTTAAACAATGCCAATAAAAGGGACGAGGAGGACAAGCCTGTTACCTTGCCTAGGGCCCCATCCTGCCTTAGTGTGTCTCTTTTGGTATGTCTGAGCTTTTTCTAGGCTGGGAACCGCTACTGCAGAATGTTTGGCCTTATTTAAGACACCATTAGTAACAACGCATATTTTGCTGTAGCCTAACCACATTCAACTTAATGCTGGACATGCATGCATTGATTTTTCATGTGACTGACCATTCAGTTCAATTTTATAAATCATTGGTATGTTGGAAATGCCTTGATGCAAGCTAAGTGGTAAATTCACATGCATGAACCCGATCACTTTCAATGCTAAAAACCTTATAATCACCTGTTCCTGATCCAGCAAGATGTTGGGTGCGTGTACCTGTCAACACTGCAGAGATGATTCTCAGAATCTTCTGTGCTGGAGAGATTACAAGTATGAGCTTGTACTCTGGACTAACTCTCCATAGGATTGAATGAAAGTTCCAAGCCCCTGTGTTACAGGGCTGCACGGCCGATATCTGTCTGGATCTGGGACAGGTGAGTATATAGACTGAAAAGGAAAGTGGGCTACAAAAAAGTATAAATGAATCAAAGGTGTTGAGACAATTCAAACTTCGATTTGATAACTGAATATTTTGAAAACTAAAAAACGATCAATAATTGCTAGATTGGATCATAGTATTGAAACAACCATTTTATCAAGCAAACAGATTTTCACATGTGTGTCCATCATTAAACCACAGTCATGTACTGATTTAGCAATTGGGCAAATACAAACATATTATTACTCTGTAGTGCGTTAACCAACAAAGGCTACATACACAACTGTGAACTAGAGCCCAGAAGCTAGAACGTCTTTGTCCAAATCCAGCACTGAAAAATGTCCTATAGTTTGACAAATTCTATCACAGAATACTATAAGTAGTTTCTGGTTAGGGGCTCGCTCACACCTGAGTGGTTTAGCTTACCCTTGCACTGCATTACCTGCATGAAAAATGGACTGTTTTATTTAATGGTGCAGTCTCAATATGATTTAACACTGTGGGCGTTGACAGTGCGCTTCAATACTCCTGCATGCAGCAGTTCCGGTGTGCTTTATATGCAGTGCAGTAATAGGTATCCTCTTCAAAACACATGCACCACAATAATACAGCACTCTGAAAGCTATGAGTCTTTTTGACCTTGTTTTTTTTTTACCACGCAGATGTGAAGGAGCCTTGAGCCAATGTGCAGTAAACGTAATTCATTTCAATTGCAGGTGTTTGGAAAATGAAGCTTTTTAAAGTAGCTATGGACCGTGGCTGCAGAACACTTGCCCTGGCACAGTTTAGGATTTAAATTCAATAAGACATGATTCACTAGTCTAACTGACCCTGGCCTGCAGTTTGAGAATCTGGAGGACTAGAGTTCCTTTCCCTTTTCATATACAGTGCCTAATGGCTGTGCTTTTGAAAATCTTTGCATGCCCAGCAGTTATACAAACTTTACTATGTGCTTAGTCTATAAGCCTTGGCAAATGGGTAAATCAGAAGGAAATTTCCAAACTGATCAACCTTTCTTTTATCTCTGGTGTTCAAGACATTTAGGGGTTGATTTACTAAAGGCAAAAAGGCTGTTCACCTTGCAAGGTGAAATTTCACTTTGCAGAGATGACCTAATCCTGTGCAAGAAAACTAAAAAAAACAGTATTGCTTGTACATGATTGACTGATAAAAATCAGCAGCTCTTCACCTCATTCACTAAGCTAAGTGGAAATGTCCCCTGCATAGTGCAAATTCCCCTGCAAAGTGAACAGCCTATTTGCTTTTAGTAAATAGATCCCACAGGCTCAACACACGGTTCTGTTGTCACCTGAACATGTGAGAATCCTCACCGTAAGGCGATTGTGCTATGTGTAATGTTCTTGGTTCCTTTAGCTTTTGCTGATTTTTTACATTGAAACTGCTTTCTCCAAAGGCCATGTCAGATAGGTGATCATTCCGTTGGTAACAACTTGCCAGTAATAGAATCGCTAACCGACCACTTATCTTTTTCTATGGTGGCACTCCTTTGCGGGCTAGACCAGTAAGTTGTTTCTCTTTCACTGTTGCCTCACTAGTTTTTTAATGAACTCAGCTTTCTGTGCAAGTGAGCAAATAATTCCATCAAGATAAATGGCTCCATTACCTGGGTGATGAGTTGTCAGTAATAAAATTGCTCATTTGGCGTGGTCCTAAGTAGGGATGCACCGATACCGGTATTTCTGTATCGAGTACAAGTACCGATATTTTTTTTCTCGGTACTCACCGAATACCGAGTACCGGAAGCCCCATTTAGGAAGCCAGACGGCGTGTAATGACTCGCCAACCAATCAGAAAGCCGGGCGCCACGTCATTCCAGGGTGCCTGGCTTCCTGATTGGCCAGCTTCCAGCCAATCAGGAAGCTGGGCAGCACACCATTACACGCTGCCCGGGTTCCTGATTGGCTGGGAAGCCGGCTCCACTTGAGACGAGAGAGCATGGAGTCGGCATTCCTGGCCAATCAGGAAGCGTGTAATGACGCACTGCCCGGCTTCCTGATACCAGAAGTATGGGGCTAGGCATCGGAGCATTTGGGCAAGTACGAGTACTCGCCCAAATACTCGGCACCGATACTAGTATCATATCGGTGCATCCCTAGTCCTAAGTATAAGGGGATGTCCTTATTTTAAAATAGAATGGTATATAGACAAAAGTCATATTTTACAACAAATTCTTTTGAAATACAGTACATTTAATGTGCCCTTCTTTTATAGAGTTGACTGCTCTTTCATATATTTATTTGGTATGGGCAGCTAAAATATGATTTTGATAATCCTGCAAATGTTTTCACTTTTAGTCTTATTATTTCAATGTTTTATTATGTGCTCACATTTATATATATGTTACTGTTATTTGGCTAGTTTCCAGTTAAAGCGTACGTCTAGGTGAAATTGAAAGAAATAAATCATTACATCTCTGCAGTGTATTTCTCTATAGTCTTTACTGTAAATACCAGCTGTTAGGAATCCACCGAGCTCCTAATTTTCTGCTTTGCCGACAACACAGTGCCTTTTTAGTGCACTGAAATCCCAAACAGTATCATCAGGCTTGCCCAATTCTCACCCTGTTGGATTATAGAACACCTACCCTCTCCTCATTTCCAAAAGAGGGGGTCACCCCGAACAGGCTAAGCAATCGATAGCCGACGAATCGACGATCGAAAACGTTGCCAACGTTTTCAATCGTCGATTTTAATCGACTTAATCGATTAACTGTTGCAGCTCTACTGTAGTGTGCATGTATGACAGAGATGTGCGTAATGTTTTTATTACCCTGTATGTAGGTAAAAGGGAGCGTGAACATTGGCAAGACACTTCATGTACTAGTCTTGTTCCAGCGGGGACAATAGAAATCAGCTGAAAAATCCAACCAGACAGTTTATTAACAGGAATGTTCAGATACCAGAGCTGATACTTGGCATTTTCACAAGAACTACCAGGGTTGCAGAAGTTGCAGCTCTGACTGGGCCCTGGCGCTCCACCACTGTCCTGAAATCATTAGTCTGTATTGTTTTAAAAAAAACTCACATGACAATAAACAAAAATGTATCAGTAATTGTATATGTGAGGACTTGGGCAAGTACTTGTACTTGGTCTGGAAAAAATGGTATTGGTGCATCCCTAATATATATATATATATATATACATATATATATATATATAAAACAAATCATACATTAAACCAGAAATGCACAAATCCCAGGAGCTCCGTATGCTCCTTACAAATGACAGCTGCCTCCTAACTTTTGAGTTTTACGCTAGTCTAGGCTTGGAGCTGGAAAAGTATCTGTACTTGTACGTGTACCAAGCATGGTATCTGAACATCCCTATTTATTAATCCCAAGAAAACAGGCCTAGGTTGTCAGCTGACACCCATAGACATGATAATTGTTCTGCTTAGTTAAAGTTAGCTACACTGAACAATGATCATGTCTTACCTTTAAAATGTATGAGCACTTTAAGAAAAAGAACTACTCTACATATATTATATATAGTCTGATGGGTGAGGTGTACTTAGAGGTTAGCACGGATCTTATAAATGGTGCATAGGGGCTAAGCTTTCAGCGTTGCATACCACGCTGTGTCATTAGTTCCTGAGCTCATTTATTGTATTGATAAAGTAATTAAACTGGCACTGAACTAGCAAGTCTGGTCAGTGCACTGGAGAGTGATGCAGGATAAACTGCTTTCCCTGGTTCTTAGTTACATTTTGTTTGCATGCATATGAAAGAAATAAACCATTAACCTGTGCAAGAAGATTTTTAGGAAGTGATGTTTTAGCTTGACACTACTAAGATGTGGAATGCTTTCTCCATAGCCACCAGTCAAATTCAGATTGTCAGGGTAGGCTGCAATCTGATTGGTCATTCTAGGGAAGTAATTCTACTTCTTGGTACTGACTGTTTGATACATCAAGCCCTTTATAAAGGAGTCTTTAAAAGACAAACACCTTTCAGAAGGCTCCAGGGAAAGAAATCTTGTCAGACCAAATACACCTAATACAATCTCACTTAAACATAAAAGCTTCCATCAGATGCTTTTAAGATGGGTATTTTTGCTATGTTTCCCTTTTGACATGGTGGCTTATGCTTAAGCCACTGCTGCCTTATTTCTATTGAGTGCAATGCTAGATGTATACGGATGGTATCTAAGTTTCTACTATCTAATTACAAACCTACGAGCTTTGTATGTGTACCGTTAGTTGTTTTCCATTGGCAATCTTCTAACAAAAGCAAAAAAAAAATAAATAACATGCTGATAAATTCTTCCAAGGAACTTTCAAACTGTTAAAAAAATGGAATTATTCTGATTTTGGAATTAATTGGTAAGCTTGCCCAAAACCAATGTTTCAGTTTTAGGATCACCCTCCAACTACATGTGTCTCTTCAGCAATTGAGAGGTAAGATATTTACATCTGGGATCCCAGCTCCACCCAGAACCTACCCTACCTATTAGCCCTCATTCACACGTGAAACGGCCGGCCCGTACAGATCACTCCCGGGAAGGACAGGTGCTGCGTGTGATTACACCTTGCTGGTGTCCCTGCTCAGATGCAGGCAGGATCCATCCTGTCAGCGTACGTACCCGTACACCTGCACAGACATGCAGTTCGGCTGAGCGTAGGGCGGCGTATGGCTGCATACTCCCATAGAGAAGGACAGGCTGCTGCGTGTAATCACTCGCAGCACCTGTCCTTCTCAGGAGTGGCCCAAAACGGCGTGCGCGCTGCAGGATCTGTATGGGCCAGCCGTTTCTCGTGTGACTGAGGGCTTAGGGCAGGGGTGCCCATTAGGTAGATTGTGATCTACCAGTAGCTCACAAAGCTGATGCTGGTAGATCACGATTGTAAGTCGGCACACTATCCCGAGAACCTTCCTACGGTCTGTTTAGCCCCTCCCCGTCTGCTGCGTCTGACACATAAGGGCAGAGGCCGACAGCATGAGTGCAGCGACTTTAGGATGGAGGGCTGAGCATGAAAGGAGGATAAGTACCAGGTCTAGCTTCCCGGTGTTCTGTAATATTGCAGAGCAGCGACTTTAGAGAGAGCAAGGAGAGACAGCCAGGAGGATGAGCAAGGAGAGACAGCCAGGAGGATGAGCAAGGAGAGACAGCCAGGGGGATGAGCAAGGAGAGACAGCCAGGAGGATGAGTAAAGAGAGACAGCCAGGAGGATGAGCAAAGAGAGAAAGCCAGGAGGATGAGCAAAGAGACAGCCAGGAGGATGAGCAAGGAGAGACAGCCAGGAGGATGAGTAAAGAGTGACAGCCAGGAGGATGAGCAAAGAGACAGCCAGGAGGAGGAGCAAAGAGACAGCCAGGAGGATGAGCAAAGAGACAGCCAGGAGGATGAGCAAAGAGAGACAGCCAGGAGGAGGAGCAAGGAGAGACAGCCAGGAGAGCGAGAGAGGTTTTTTTTTTCGTTGGTAGATGTCATGTAGCTCGTCATTTGAAAAGTAGATCTTAACACCAAAATTGTCGGCACCCCTGGCTTAGGGTATCTCACTCTGTTTGAGGTGAAATTTTCCCAATGGTTTTCCTGAGAGCCACAAGAAGCCAGTGGGTTCTCCAGTCCACCAGTGTCAACCTGTAACTGAAATAACAGTTTTGTGTGCATTTCCCATTAGGGTATTAGAGCCATGTACATAAACCATCATTTAAGACAAATGTAATAGGGTTATTCAGAAAAGGGTGAAGAATTTGGAGAAGGCCGGAGAAGTGAACAATCTAGGACAACATAGCTGAACTGGAAAGTGAGCTGAATTGGAGAATTTTTCCAAATCAGCTACTGTATGTTGTCCTAGATTGTTCACTTCTCCTGCCTATTTATTTGGCAAGAACAACATTTCACTTATTTATTATCACAAGGTAAAGATCAGATGGAAGCAGTAACTATTGGCAGCCAATGAAATGTTAGTTAAAAGTTTAGTAGACAAATATAAAGGTTTGACTTGTTGCTTTAGGGTTTGGTGCGCATCGTTGTTCTTTACACTGTATCAATATGTGTGCGTATGTCTGTAAATACAATTAGTAGTACTCAGTCACATTCAGCTGGACTTGTAATGTTTGAGATGTCACTGGTTGCCAAGAACTGAGGGACGCTGTGACTGGCAACCTGCCCAGCTCCTGGCAACCAGTCACATCAGTGAGCTGGATGGGATGCCAGAAAGAGCCAGAGCCTGTGCATCTCCTGTGCTGGAGGTAACGTGCATCACCTACCCCTCCACCCCACTTGATAATGTACATTGCCAACCCCCCCCCCTCTGTAATGTGCAGCACCATCAATCCCCTTTACCATCCCCATCCCCCCCCCACGGACTGAGTACCACAGCACACACCCCCATCTCAGGCACCAAAAAGTGTAGGGACACCCCTGCAGATACCTGTATCAACTGCAGCTCACTGTGGTTCCATCTGCTAGCCCTATGTCACTAAAGGAAGCAGTAGTGGCATAGGGGTTGCTAGGAGTTACTGTTCAGTGTAGTAGGGGATCAGGGATCTGATGCACCTGTAAATGTATTGGAAGTAAAGATCCTACTAAAGGCTGTGACAGGTGAAGACAGTGGAGTTTGTACTTGGTGCCTAAGTATTCAGGAACCTCTATTGCAGGAAGCTTTTATTGATTGATGTGTTTTAAAAAAAAATTGTTTTTTGTCTGTGTGTTTTAGAACATCCACAACATTTACAGAACTGGGCTGCCTGACATTAAAAAAATTTGGCTGAGCAGCCTAAGGTTTTATAACATTTTCACAGGATGAAATGTATGTTTAGTAATTTTATAAGCCCTAATTCTAAGTGGTTCCTCAGTGGTTGTGACGTAGGGGCTTGATTAAGGTATATCTAGCTAATACTTTATGTGCCAGATTTCGTGTTTTCTGTCCTTAATTTTGTTTCCTGTTCATTCTGTGTCCTTTGTCTGCATAGAAGTTGTGCACTTTCCTAAAACTTGAGCCAGTTCCTTTTCCTTCAGTGTCTGTCTTTGTCTTCTCAGTCACTCACTCACTCCCATCTCCTTTGTCTCTGTCTGTCATTGCATGGTGTGCTTACAGAAGACTTGGACTCACCACGGAGACGAAACTCAGGTCTGTGTCTGCAGTCTTCACTTTTTCTTATCATTTACTGTGTCCTTTTTTGTGTATGTCTCTTTCCGCTCTCAGTGCAATCTAGAGATATTTCAGAAGCAGCCTGTCGATCTCAGGAGGTGATGGGCAGAACATAAAGACACCATCTTCCAACCTGCCTCTACTTTCTGCTCAGACATAAATTACTTTCATATAGTGATTTTTTGTACAGTTGGAACTATTTTTTTATTTTTTGCTTTACATAAATGAACTTTACAGGCTTCAACTTATTGCAGTATAGTATTTTTTTAACCATCCTGCTGTGGAAATAAAATTATTGCAATATATCATTTGGGATGGTAAACATCATGATGTGTCAAAGAGTTTGTCAGTCACCAAGTGATGGTAATTAAGGGGCTTGCTCTCTCTTTCCCTCCTTCCAATACAATTTCCTGTGAAACATTTTAATAGTCCAAACGTCCATAGATCCTGTAGCACTCCTTACCTGAAATCCCAAGATATTGATGGGTGCTTGAAATGACCACGGATGGCACCGCACATGGAACAACTTTGAATATAGATGTCAACAGCATGCAGTGACTCTCCATTTATTAATAGATGCCACTCAAAATATCAAGTGTTTTCGGGGCCACACAGGGTCCCCTTCATCAGGCTCAGAGTAGACATGAGCTGTATTAATAAATGGATTTGCACTGACTTGAGAGTCTCGGCGTGCTGGTGACATCTATATTCAACATTTTAATAGTCCAGACACTAAGACTGCCCACTCTTTTGAATCGGCTGCCAAAGCACCACAACAGACCTAAAATAGAAACTGCACCATTTTTGCCAATGCACCGTCGCTCAATACACAGTGTTATCATGTGTTGTGGTGTGTAACAATGCAGGTGCATCGGGTGACCTCTGGTTTAATGTGTTGAGGTGCCATTCAAAATGAATGACACTGCACTGGTATGTATGCTGTGGTTAGACACCCTAAAATACGCTTCACCACAATGCATAGCACGGAAGGGGGCCTGAAAAAATATCTATAGACAAAACTTTTTTTTTCATTTCTGGTTAGAGCAGGGCATGCTTAAAACCCTTTTTAAAAAAAATCTATCTTTGACCCATTTGTCCTACTAACACAGTCACACGTTTCCAGTTTGTACAGCCTATGTATGTTCCATTATATTGTGTAAAATTTGGCTGTAAAAAGAAGGAAAGCTTTGGAACTGTGCATTGCAACCAATGTGATTGCAAATGTGTAATTACTATACATCTTAGAAACAAAAGCAACATCTGATTATTTGCTCTGACCTCTTTCATTCAGTGTTATACAAAAGCCCTATTTGTCCATTAGCCTCATCTAAAAGGTATTTTCAAACAATAGAAAAGCGCAAAAGCTGCAATACTATAATATTCACGCTGTTTATAGATAAACAGTTATTAAAAAAAGACACTGGGAACAATTCATTTTAATTATCGTACACTTGAAGCAGACCTGAAACGTAGCTCTGACACTTTTTATGGCAGCCATAGAAGGGTAAAAACCTATGCAGGATATGGACTGCTTTTTGGTCTATGAGAGGTAACATAACAGCTGCGGTAACAACCATGTAATATGGTCCATAATGACTCTAGGTTCTCAGGAAGCAAGGGGTGGCATGCATCTAAACAGCCATACTGCTGGTCTCTAGCTACCCATCCATCAGCATGCAGGAAATACAAAGGTGGGGTGTCCATTTAGGGTGACCTCATTATAACCTAAATCCTACTGGAACTTGCACTTATTTATTTTAGTTATCAGTAGGCAATGTACTACTTTTACAGACTGAAGTATAGAAATAAATGCTTCCTCATCCATTATGTTACACTGACATTGATGATGTTTGTTTATGCCCATTGCACTTTGTGTTGTTTTGCATGTGCCATGTTATTTTTATTAATGCCATTTTTGTTCTGTGTTTCCATCATTGCTTTCATTTTTGGCATCCCATTACATTCATCGTCTTGATTTGTTTGTAGAAGAGGGCACAGCAGAGCCAGAAAATGGGGATCCAGGTACGGGAATAGTTAGCAGTATGCATGCTGCTTGGGTAGAGACTGGTAGGTTGAATCATTTGCCAGTTTTTATATCGTAGGTAACTTTGAAACTTCTGCCCTTGTAGAAGCAGTCGTAAGATTTTAAACCATGGAGTGCAGAGCTGAGAAAAACAATGGAAATTCCAACACTGGTGCCCCCCGAAAATGTAAACAGCTGGTGAATGATTCATCCCACCAACATCCACCCATGAATAAAATAATATTTTTTAGTGGACTGACCTTTTAAAAGAATTTAGTGCCTAGTACAGTAGTCCATAGCATAGCAACCACACAGGAAATGCATTTTTTGCATGGTATTGAGTAAATGCTCTAGTATATACAGATGTTTGGGAAATTGTGATTTTCATGATATTTACCTTAATTTAGATCAACATAATATAATATTGAGGTCAGGCGATTTAATATCAAAGTGTTTATATATTTATAGTTTATACCCCTGCAAAAGTGGACATATTCTGTCCACATAATGTGCTTTAAAATAAATATGCTTTTGTTCCAGTTTGCTAAAAAGGATTTCACGTGTTGATACTTCTGTATTCTGTAAAGTGGTAGCAAAACATAAATTGCTTCATTTTCATAATCTGGATTATGCAAAAGAGTTTTAATACGAATGGATGAGCTTGAAAGTTTTGGGAGATTATCAGTATAGAGCAGGGGGAGGTAAAAACCCCTATCAGGCTAATTGTTGCTGTTTGTGTCCTGCTGAGATTTGCCTTCACTTCCTGTCTTTAAAATGTAACAGGAGGTCAGTGGTCACCAGAACAAATAGAGCCCCCCAGCAGGGACACAGCCCTTAATAAAACCGTGCAAAAGGTCTAACCCTTCCCAACCCATCCAAAACTGAAAAAAAGTTTTACTTTTGCATACACTATAAGGTGGTGTAATGGATAGCAATATTTTAACAGCTGATTTCCAGTGATTCTTTCGAGGAATTCTAAAAATTGCACGCTAGGTTTCAAACTGCAGAGCAAATTTACAGATGTACAAATTTGCAAATGTGAAATTGCATGCAGGTGTGGATACTGCTGGCTATGTAGCTGTAAGTGGCTCTTTACATAATATTACATTTTTGGTTTTAACATAAATGGTCTCTTAAAATTGGGTTACTTGCTGAGAGCTGCAAAAATAATATCTCCCATCTGCTGTCCTTTTTTTGTATGAGATGTTGCTTAAATAGCAAACAAACAAAATTAATGGTATACTCAGACATGTTTTATTTAATTACAGGCATTCATATAGTTCCATCAATTTACACAGCGCTATACATACTATTAATTCACATCAGTCCCTGCCCTCAAAGAGCTAACAATCTAAGGTCCCTATCTCACACACATACTTGGGCCAATTTACCTATCAGAGTTTCTTTGGAGTGTGCTAAGGAAACCCACACAAGCACAGGGAGGACATGAAAACTCTATGCAGGTAGTGTCCTGGCTGAACCTGGATTTAAACTAGGGACCTCACTGCCACAGGGTAGAAGTGATAACCACTGAGCCACTGTGCTGCCAGAAAATGAACCCTTGCAACAATGGGAACCCCTTTAGCTTACCTGTTTGCAATGGAAAGGGGGGTTTCCAGACACTCTGTAGGTGCATTGCTGTCTTATACAGACATACAGAAAATTCTGATGTATCAGAGTGTCATTGCCAGATGTATTTAATCCACCAATCAGATTTAGAAGATTGAATATGATTATTGATGCATCATATGGAGAGACGAAGTTACTCAGCCCAGGAATCAGACATCCACACCACATGTAAAAAGTTAACAGATCTTTGGCTGTATGGGCCTGCATAGATTGAAGTGTATGTATAGCCATTTGTTGGGTTTTGGATAGTGCAGAGAAGGATTCAATCTCCTGTCGGGTTTTTATTGATCTCTGTGTCCCAGCTAGGTAGATTGATGCTTTAGTTTGTGTTGGTGACCACTGCGACCAAGATTGAAAGTAACGGGAAACCCAAAAACAAGTGGGGAGGGAAAATATTTCAGTGGGGGCACCTGTTCCGATGACAACTCTCCAAGAGGAGATTTCCCCTAACTTGGTAGATGTTTCCGCTGACTTTGTGTTGCATTTCCGGAGCAGGAAGTGAAAGGAAATCTGCCCAATAGGACATAGAGAGATGTCTGCCATCCTATTCTCTGATGTTGCCCCTACAATGATCCTGTGCAAAATGATAGGCATGCTGCCTGCCTCCAGTTTGTCAATGCTTAGGTCTGGCTATTGGCTAATCAAGCACTTGGCAGTGCATTGTGTGAACACAAAGGGAAGGTTGTTCCCTACCCAGTACTTGGATTTTAAACCCTACAACAGCAAGGAAATGGGTGGTATGAGCAAGGTTTACTTAAGGTAACTTACGTGGGCATTTTGGCTTTAGCATTGTTTTCTTCATGCATTTTTTCAATAATTTATTGCAGAAACAGCTTTTAACAAATCAATAGCAATCCATAGGTATCAATTTAAATACTTCTAAATTTAAAAAAAAAAGATTGACCCAAAGCCATTATAGTTTCTTGGTAAAGAGGAACTTTGCTCCCCCACATTTTTTTATCCCTCTTACCTTTTGTGTTGTCCTTAAATCACATACTTAAGGTGTTGTCCGTAAATCATATACTTAGGCCAGGTCTCGCACTGCCATCCTGTTGCTCCCTAATCTTTGGGAGCTGGCTGCCTTTTTTGGGTTCAGACAGCTAGCCCCTGAGGATTTGAGCAGCTATTTCCACTGCCAAATCTGTTTCCCTACTCCAGTAGCCTCCTGGGTTATATGTCACAGATATTCCAGGAGGCTGTGGGAGCAGGAGTGGGCAACACAGGAACAAAATTGTCCTTTTAAGTAGTAGAGTGGGAAAGGGTTGCAGGAAATAAAGCATCATTATAGGGTGAAGGTCTGCTATAAATTGTATAATGGGAATATAGATTAAATATATAGTTTTCAGCTTACATGGAACATCTCCAAAGCCTTCAAACAGATCTTCCCATCTGTGACCAGTGGCTTGGAGGTGAGACACCCCCAACCACCGGTCCCGGATGGGAAGATTTGGGATGGAGATATTCATGCTATCTAAGTTCACAGACAGGTAGTGTTTGGACTTGAAGTGATTGTTGTGGCTGTCAGAAAGCTTCTCTCAGAAACTTCTAAAGAATACGGGTTATGGCAGACAGCACAGCCAGTAGTAGAGCAGAAGCATCCTGCAACTATGCGGAAATCTCTAAGGTTCTGATTACGCCACGGAG